AAAAGAAAGCAATAAAAAATTTTCTTTTTATACGTATATAAAATGAGAATTAAACATGTAAATTACCCGAAAAAAAAAATCAGAATTTTTTAAATTGTATGTTGATTATATCAATAGCGTTTTATGGGATCAACAAATATTACAATTTTTTATCACAATGCATTATCGAATATTTTTTTGTCGGAACTTCCGACCGGAAGTATTTATCACGGCATATAGAGAAGTGGCGCCATCAAACGACTACGGAGAATGCAAACACGAAGTAAACATTTTGTAGAGTAGGTAACATCGAAACCTTCAAGTCGTGTACAATTTTAGAGAACTATTTTATCAACTTACTGTAAATGAAAAATAATTAACAGCCACCAGCCGATAAACTAACAAGAAAATTTTCCAGTATGTTAGATTTTTATCCATCGTCGATTGCAATTAAAATATCGTAGAGCATAATAAAATTTGTTAATAAATTTTGAAATAATTTCAAATCTTCCATTAAAATATAACAAATAATAAACGATCTTTCAATTTTATCTATTCTACAAAATGTATCATTATGCAAATATATTTAAAAAATTTACTATTATATTATTCACCGGTTCCATTAAAATATAACCAATAATAAACGATCTTTCAATTTTATCTATTCTACAAAATGTATCATTATGCAAATATATTAAAAAATTTACTATTATATTATTCACCATGTCGAATAAAGTGCTCAGCAATTCGTGTAATCCAAAGGTCTTGAGTAATCCAAGAGAAAAGGCACCACGAAAATCACACATTAATATATTTCTCAATAATTTCACAATATTCTCTCTGGACGCTCGCGACACTCTCGACATTCGTAAACACTTCCGAGCACTCCCGAATACTTCCGAAAACTGCCGAGAATTTCACTTCGATTTCGAACGAGACGGCGCGGCGCGGCGAAAATGCACTGGCTGCATCTTTATTCGATCGAAATTTCACGCGCGAGCGATAAATTATCGCATGCCGTCGACAATGATGCTGCACCCGACGTTCCTGATACACTCCGAATAAAAAACGAGCAACGCAATATATGTACATACATATATACATATGTATATACGGTCGTTGCAACAAGTGGCAACACGAAACGACACGGCAGGTGAAACGATTTTTATTGCTCCGCACGACGAACAGCGTGTCGCGAATATATCGCCCGAAATCTATTTGACTTCCGCGTACTTTCGAGACTCGCGTACACTTTCGAGTAAAACGTAAAAATTCCGCGAAGAAGCGGAGCGGCGACTTGAAACGCGAGATAAAATGGTCGCCGCTGCCCTGCGCAGGAGGCTGCGCGGAAGACCGTCTCCGAAATATTCATATATAATATTTGACGAAAACATTTGAATTTCCATCGTCCGAAACCATCCGCTTGACTTCCGCGATCACTTCGCGTACTTCCGACACGCGCGTATACACTTTCTCTACAAGCGCGTGATATTATTTAATATTCTAGGCGTATTCTTAGAATATTAAATATTCTAAAAATACGTCTAGAATATTGCTTAAATATTAAATAATATCATGCGCTTACAGGGTTCGAGCGAAGATGCCGCAAATAAATCGCGCCGCGGAAAGCACGCGGTTTTCCGAAAGTCTACTATATTACGAAAATGCGTCTGGTTATGTCGTACAAATTATACCGCGCAAGATATAAATCGTATCGCGAGAATCGTCGGGATCTCCGTTCGATCGAGCACTTCCGGTATGTCTATGCGGGGCGAGGTTCACTTCCGGGTAGCCAGCATAGTTGATTAATTAATCCGGTCCTTCGACACTCGCGGGATTCCGTCGCGATATCTGCTTTGTATTTTCGACTCTTCGTTGGCAGAAAAAACTGTCACCTTGAACCGCCATCGCGCGTTTGTACTTCGCCGCCGTTGCAAGGTGAGTCACACGAGCTTTTCAGCAATTATTAACACGTAATATTAACGCGACGTGTACGTCGAATGCAAAGAAAATATTACGAAGATTATCGCCGAGTTAAAAATCGCAGGAACATCTTACCACGATGGCACCCGGGACGGGACTGAATAAGACTGTGCAAGTGGCTCGAGGAAGAAAACAAATTGTTAACCAAGTTATATAGATAAGGAAAGACGAAAAGAAGCGAGGGGAGGGAGGGGGATGGGGAGTTTCGAGTCGAGCTCGGCTGTCTCCTTATATGGGAGGTAAGAGTGTGCACGTGTTCACTAAGCTCGGCTTCGACAATTTCTTTGAATTGCGATAAGCGCTCGATCCTGAAAAAGGACGGGAGGTGGGGAAGAAAAAGAAACTCGATACTGAATTTCCTACTTTATGTATGTGTGTGTGTGTGTGTAAAAACACGAGTAAAATTGCGTATACACTTGAATGATGTGTGAGTTTGGAAATAAAAAGTACTTGGCGGTCTTTCTTTTTTTTTTCTTTAACCGAGACGAGCGTCTGAGATTTCTGAAGGATAGAAATACGATTTTTAAAGTGCGATGTATTTTATTTCTCGCGTTTTTCGACCAGATTTTTTTCCTCTGCCTACCAAAAATTAAATTACTATTATACTTCGAATGCAATAACTGTTAATATTTTAATATGTTGTCCAAGATAACAAGTTAATTATAAATAATCTGAAATATATTAGTTCCTTTTTTTTCTTATGTAAATTGACGCGCTATTAATGCTAATTAAAATTCTTAATTTCTATAAATGATTGTTTGAAAAATAAACTTTACTTTTTTTTCAACAAACATTTAAGTATTGAAAAAATATTTGATAAAAAAATTGACACACAAATTTTTATTAGTTTATTCAGTTTTTTTAATTTGAGAAATTAGAACAACAAAAACGCGCGCGGCATTTCTCAATTTTATATATTAACTTTAAATATTTTAGAACTCGCCAAAATTACATTTTTCCTAATATTAATATTATTTTTCCTAATATTAGTTTTATTTCTCATAATGTATTATGTTTCCTAAGATTAGTATTATTTTTTCTAAGAGATTAGGGTTATTTTTCATAATATTAAAATTTTTCCTAATATTATTTTTCCTCAGGTTAGTTTTATTTTTCCTGATATTATAGTTTTTAATATTAGTTAATTGAAAAAAGAGTCACTGCAGTAACTCCCTCCCAAAAAATAAAAAAATTTAGTGCATTTAAGCATTTAAATAATTATAAAGTTTTTTTTACATAATATATATTCATTAATTATATTTATTCAAAAGTGTCATTATGCAATATTATATTATAAATCAGATATTTTCCAATAAAGATTTAGTTCGTGATTGCAAGACAATCGCAATTAAAAAAAATTGAAATAAGATCAAATTCAAAACTTCTTTAATTTGTCTTTTTCCAATTTCTCTCGAATTTGCAATATATAATTTATTCTGTAAATATAGTTTAAATTTTAATTTTTAATAACGCAGTATTCGAGCAACTACTCTAACGAGTATCGAAAAATTCAAACGACGTCAATTCTCTTCATCTGCTATTCTGACAATGGAGATTTTCTTTTTCGACACCTACACGGTGTCTCGAATAAATAAAAATGAAATGTTGCGAATGAGAATGGCAGAAATGTTACATTGTATACGTAGGTAATTAGTCGAAGAGAATTGTATAGATGCTTCTCTCTCTATATATATATATTTTTCAGAATATTACAATAATATATTTTAAATATAAAATTTTCTCTAAAAATTTTATTTTTTTTTATTTCACATTTTTTTAAATAGATAGAATAAATAATTTTTCTATTTTATAATGTATAAATAATTTTGAAATTTAATTCAGATTATAAAATAATGAATAGTATTTTCTAATCGCGGATGACAATTGTTGCCCGTCTTATACGTTAAATTTATATTTATATTACGGAGCCTTGTTAAAACTCTTATATTGATACACGCTGGCTTAAAAATGCGTTTGTTTACCAACATTAATATATATAACAGAGAAAAGTATAGAATCGAAAGGATCTGAATAGCTCAGCTGGAAGAGCAGTCGCCCGGCAAGCGAAAGGTCTCGGGTTCGATTCCCGATTCAGCGATTTTCGGATCTATATTTTTCTCTTGCATTCATTTATTTATTTTCCGTGGGGGGGGGGGGGGGTTAAAGGGGGTATTGAAATTAAATCTCAAATATGAGATTATTTCATATTTTAAAATCTTGGCCGTGTCCAAGTAAAATTTGGTGCCTTGTGCACCGGTATTTAATTCTAACGGAAAATTATTTAGTTTCGTTAGGATAACGCATTGTCATCCGCGATTTGGCTCTTGTTGCCCGTCTTATACGTTAAAATTAGTATTTTCTAATTTAAATATTCTTATAGCAACAATGCTGTACATCTTATATTTCAAATATTATTTTGATAATGTGTAATCTGCATCGATAAATTATTTTAGAAAACTCAATAAGAGGTATGATATATAATTATAGAGAGAGACAACATTTTAATAGCCACATTAAATGCATCGGTATATAGCATAAATATTGTTAAATACACAAGTCAAATTTAAAACATATTTCCATTCGCTCTTTAAGTAAATAGCTGTACTGTAAATGTATCGTATAAATTCGACAGAAACGTGAAAAGAGACAAATTAATCAAATTTTAAACATCGGCAAAACTTAATTAAAAGTTACGTGAACTTGATTGTTCGGAAAATAATAAAAAAAATTAATTTGTTGTTTGTTGCTAAAACTTTTTATTTTTATCATTATTTTATTTGCGTTATCTATTCTAAATTTCTTTATTTCAAATTAATATTAATTTTATTTTCTTCAGTTGAAATTACGTTTTCTTATTTTATTAATATTTTCTTAAATTCATTAGTGACAAAAATTTATAATTTAATTTTTAATGTGTCAAAAATGTTTTTATATTTTTAAATTACAAACATGTACACGAATTATAATTTTTTATTATGTTCCTAATAATAACAGTAAATCATTATTTTCCTAACAATGTAAACAAAAAATAAACTCACATTGCGTTGAGTCGATTATCTAAATCTCTGCGTTAATATATCCGCTTTAACGTTCCGCTGCTACTCTGCTATAATCCCATATGGTTTGGCACTGATCACTGCACTGTTTTTTCTATTATTTTATATTTGCAATAATTATTTATCGCATTTCACTACACACAGATGCACTTCGAAATGAACGGCCGATACGAAAAAAATAAGATCACTCGCGAATGCATTTCGTGACATCGCGACGAGTGAACGGAAGTGTCATGGCGGACAGATCTGCGCGGCGACACTCGGTACCACAATATCTCAAGCCCCCAACGGCCGCCACTTCCCCACAATTCTCCTGGGTCCCCGTCGACGCCGGGATACCCTTCAAGACGATGAAGAATACTCGCGAGGTCAGCGAAGAACGTCGAAATATACGCGAAAATCACGGCGGAACAGTATCTCAAGCGAAAAACATCTTTCTCCCCCTTCCCTCGCCCATCACTTCGCGATGCTTCCAAGGCTCCCGGGTCCCCGTCGACGCCCGGATGCTCTTCGAGAAGATTATTCAATCCATCGCGTCGAAACGACACTCCCGAACTTGCACTCCCGTTTATTTGCGTTACTCGCGCACGAAATCCAGATGAGACGCGGAGCTTCGCGACGCGCACTTCACTCCTCTGCCGCTGGACTGGCACTAATCGGTGGCGGCGCTGGCTGAAGTACGTCGCGTCGTGACGTCACGTCAGAATCGGCCGATTTCGTATTACTACGCGCGGGAATTTTCCACGCGTAAATAGTACCTAAATAATATAATCAGCAAGTGTACATAATATTAATTCGCCGAATTTTAATTATGTACATAATTTTAATTCCCGAATTTCTATTATGTACATAATTTTAATTCGCCGACTTTCTATTACTTTCTGCACATTTTAATTTTAATTTTTCATTTTTCATATTATATACATAATTTTAATTCGCCGACTTTCTATTACTTTCTGCACATTTTAATTTTAATTTTTCATTTTTCATATTATATACATAATTTTAATTCTTAAATTTCTATTATGCACATAATTTTAATTTGCCGTATTTCTATTATGTAAACAATTGTAATAAAATTTCGGTCAATAATTTTATGTACATAATAGAAATTTAATGAATTAAAATTATAAATATATATAATAAAAATTCAAGAATACAAATTATGTGCATAATAGAAATTTGACACATCAAAATTTAAAACATAATGTAAATTCAAGAAATAAAATTATGTACGTAATGAAAATTCAAGAATAAATTATGTGCATAATAGGAACTCGGCAAATTAAAATAATATTAAGTTTAACCGCAAAATGTAAAACTGTTGAACGACTTGGTTGTGATTCAAGCCGCGAAGCAAACTTTGAAACGACCAACCAGCATTACGTCAAAGAGGATTTTCAATTGTTAGAAATGATTGTTTGAAAAATAAACTTTACTTTTTCCGACAAATATGCGTATAAAAAATATTTGATAAAAATTTGACATAGAAATTTTTATTAGTTTAGCTTATAATTAGCCTGAGAAATTTTATATACAGTATGCATGCAGCGTGTTTCCTTCTTTCTTTTATAGATTTTCTTTTTCTCGGACGAATTCAAAAGTTCTTATATGATTTAATCGTCGTCATTTCTCGGTTCAACAAACGCGCATATTTATATATATTAGCGTGCATATAAACAAAATAGCCGAGCTCTTTTCTCTTTCTCGTATTTTTCACTTATTGTCAGTGTCGACTATTGCAAAATTAATCAGTTAATCAGTTACAATATAGCTGTACGTAATGTTATGTTTAATCGAAAATTATTCACATGTCACAGTTTGTTTTAATGTGACAGTCATACTTAATTCGCGTAATACACGGAGTGTGTTCCACTTGCTGTTTGCAACATTCGCATCATTTATCTTTCTTTAACTTTTGTTTAGATCAAATGATCCCAGCGAACATCAAGTGGAACATGTCTGAAAGAATCACATTAGAATTGCAACGAAATAAGAAGTAACATTTAATTGTCTTTGTATTCGTCTATAGTGTGTAATTTGTAATTAATTTGTGTAACGTTGGGACAATTTGTAGTTTGCGAATAATCGCGATGAACTATCGGAAGGATAAAAGCATCAAAGGAACTGATTCAGTTAATCATTTTACGATTAATGCGATTGCTATTTCGCTGTGGTCATCATTATATTATGATATAATATTACGACCGTAAAAGAGTCAATGGTCTCGTTACATATCTAAGTTATAATTTTAAATTATATAAACAATAAAATATTGCTTGCAAATAAGTATGTAGAGAGTGTTGAAAAGAATATCAGACAACTGTCGTATTATGCGTAATACAGTACCAATATCGCATCAGGAGTGCAAACATATGATAATTCCGTCCAGTGAAAATAAATCCAAACATTATGTCAAATGTATTAATAAAATTAGCAAGAATTTAAAATACCAGGAATGTCTCCTACAGATAAGCGTGTAATATCCAAAAGAGTGTCGAAAAAAATTATCGGATGACTGTCACACATTATATGTGTAATATATCGTATTGACAGTGTGATTGATGACGGAATACTATATGAAACGGGATATGAGTCGCGACTTATCGCTCGGTTCTTCCGGAAATTCTTAATCCTTTCGTGTATCATTTTCGGCTTCCGCGAACTTACAATTAGTATACATAGATAAAGACAAAAGTACATCCATAAAAGACAGTACATCTATAAAATTTAATTGTTATTACATTTATAATTATAACTATTATTCGGAAAATTAATCTTATCCGAAATAATAATAGAATTTATCACGCGAAAAACTATTCTACAAATCTGATTTTGTTGTTCTTAATTCCAATTTATATAAATTGCAATATTTTTATAGGATAGGTTCCATTTAAATACTTCTCTTTAAATGGTTTTATATTAAGCCAAGCAAGCGACCAAACGCTTGTACTTTAAAGCTCGAGCAACCAAATAGGATGATATTCTGAGCGCGAGAGAGAGCAAATCTCACGTCTGTGTATTATCGTCCTTTTGATGTCCTTCTCAAAGCCGGACCTTGTCCAGCTTACATTCCTCGCTGTTGTAAGCACAGGGAGGTAGAAGCTGTAAATTTCAACCAGGTAGACACACATTGGCAGATTGTTATCATTTTCTAAAGTATACCGTTTTATGTATAGTCTTTACATTTATATTACAAAAATCTCTTATATGTGCATCTAAAAAAAGCATACCAAGATGTTTTCAAAAGAAATAATAGTGCAATCTGCAAAAGATGAATTTTGCTTCGAATAACAATAGAATTTTTACAAAATAATATTAATAAAAAATACAATTACATTATAAAAATAAAAATATATTTAAGATTATATATACATGCACTTGTAGATAAAATATCTTATTTACGTTACTTTATTCAAAGATTATGTTTTAAAAACTCAAAATTAATAATAAAATGTATTAAAGCATTAAATACATTTTACAATGTTTGTAATTCATACATTGGTCTTGGATAAACAATAAGTTATATATTTTGATAATATAACTGCACAAGTTTCTCGAAAATATTCAACACGGTAATTAAAATAAATAAGTGACACGATATAGGTATTTTCAGATGTCGCTTGCCAAATTACGTGAAACTCGAGTGCCATCCCTGTATCGTTGGAATCTGGAGTATACTGGACAATACAGGGAGACAGTCACAGTGAGGCTTTATTAAGCTTATTAACTGAACATACAAGGGTGGTATCTACGTCGGTGGTCGGGGAAAGTATAGCTACCGAAAGAGACGTGAGGATAGAAGACAATGGTGGCTAGGAAGCTGTATTTCAACTCATTTAATCGCGTTGCATCCGAGGGCTCTATTTGTCTGTCCTATCTAATATCATCGCGTATCTCTCTTTCCATTTTACCGTCTTTATCAGTTATTCTACAAACGAGAATTATATGAAAGAAAAGCGTTCCGGGGATAATTTTAATTAGTGTTTCACGTCGAAATCACATTTCTTTATATTATTATTGTAATCTTATAAAAGATATGTGTAACCTTCTTTGATCTTTCTTGACAATTGAAGAATTTATTATTTTCAAAAGCTATATGTGGTACACATGCTATACAACATTGTGTTCTATATAATACGAAAATTATTTTTAAAAATAATATATATTTTTTCTAACGATAGAAATTGAATATTAATTTCAAATTGTTTTCCAATCTCCTCACAACATCTCTTTGATAAATCTATTACTTTTATCATGCATGTTCACAAAAGAATTATTAATTGCACACTTTATAACTGAATTAACGAAATACAAATTATATCGATGGAAACGAAAATGGTAAAATTATTCTGTACAATCATGAATAAACTACGTTCTTATTTTTTTTTTTTCGTTTCTAATATATTTATTAAGTCTTTACGAGACTCCGCATATTATTTAGTTATGAAATTATTTTAAAGTAGCTTATAACTGCATTCAAAAACTTTGAAACTTTTGAAATTCTTTCTGTACATATATTTCTTTTCGAATCTTGAAAAATGTTATAATATTTATAATAAAATTGGCTTGTTGCAAATATATACATGCACATAAGAACCGAGGGAGATAAGAGGGCCCTCACGTAAAGGCCGCGGTGGATTTGCTTATAAGCTGACGGAACAGGAGCGATCCTCATCTAATCGCATCCCTAGTCCTGATTTAGGACGGGATTTTAATTACGAAGGGTCAGTAAGTGCGGCTGTCCACTTGGCACAAGTATTCCTCCCTTATTTATAGTTCATTAGCTCGGCTTTCACGTAGAAAGCAAATTAACTTACGTCTAACGATACTCTGCCTTTGTCCAGAGAAAAGGAAAGCTTCTCTTTTATCGTTAAAAATCTTATAGTGAAAAGCATGTTATAAAATATACCCTTCTATAGTGTTATCATTTTTATTATTAATTCATAATTACCTCTAAAAATATTACACATTAAAAGCATTGTATTATTATATTATATCAAGTTATATTAAACGAATAGTTTTTTTATAAAGTAAAAATCATTATTAAAGAACACATGTATATCATGTAACGGAAAACTTAATTACTGCATATAGCAAAATTATTTGATTTTAATGATTAAATGACTATTAAAGTTGTCGTTCCACAAAAATAAGTTTTTTTTATTTAACAAAAAAAGATAAAATTTTGTAATTATGTTAAGCGATATATATATATATATCATATATGAATAATATAATTTATGTAAATCGACACTTTTTTCTTAGAAAGTTAAAGATAGACGATCTTGCGAGCTTTTCCGGTGGCGCTGGAAGTGGCTCAGAGCGATATCGTCGTATTGATAAAAAAAGCGTCAAAAACTCTTTCTATTAGTTTGGTTTCAACCGCTGTTAATTATCTCGTACTGCCTAATGCAACTGTCAGACATAATCTAGGCGCAGTTGATTAATGTAATACTGATATTTTTTCTGGATTGAATCAACCAAACTGATTTTTAATTTACATAAGAATAATTTGCGTAAAGAATATAGCTATAATTATAAAGAACAATGTACAGAAAGAATATTATTCTCGGAAAAAATTGTCAAGGTTGTTCAATGTATTAAATATTACTACGGTATTTTATTTCAAATATTTTCCATAATATATTCTGTCTCTAACAATCAGTTGACAGCGTCAATATATGTGCTTTGCACGTGTGAGCACGATATATGATTAAAATTAAAATCAATGCCTCATCGTTGAATTACGATTGATAAGAAAAAGTCTGAAAGACTTAATGTCTTAATTCCTGGTTTCGTACGTCGGTACTTGTGTAACATACAAATAATGCGGTCATAGCGGTTGCGGTTTCGCGATTGATCGTAGTGCCGATTTTTGCGGCGATTTCGAACGTTTTCGCGATGCGGATAGGCGAACGATCAGTAAATTCACCCCCATACAAGGAGCACTCCCAAGAAGTTAATCACCTATATCTTGCGAACGCGGCAAACCGCATCTACCTTCTCGATTACGCTTCAATAAACCACAGTGCAATAAACAGTAGCATCATGTGACCGCGATTCACAATTTTTGGTAGAGCCTGGAATACGAAACTCCAACCAAAAAGTCATGTAAGAATCTGAAATTACGATTTTCCTAGATTTTTGTGTCCGATAATTAACTAAAGCACACGTGACAGATCAATTTGTTGACAATTTATATAGAGAATTAGAAAAACTTATATGAATCATGTACGATCGTAATATTAAGATCATTCAATTTAGACAACAATCAGGTGATTCATACAAATCGAATCTTGGTAGAAACAAGAGGATTTTTCAAAGGTTTCGTAAGAGGATCCTTCACAAAGATCATTAGTAATATTTAATTTATGTGTGTATAACCATGACCGATTTTTTTTTTGTTAAAGAATACCATTCGATCCAGTGTGTGCTCCGGTAAGAAGCATCGAGCTCCAAGCTTCCATGCACGAGGAAGGAAAAGGGGTCCAGAGAAGGAAGAGACGCGGAAAGCGCGGTGGAGATGCAAAGGAACAAAATTGCACGGGTGGGGCGAGCGATGCATGATGCGGGAGAATGGACCCCTCCATCAGCTTCCCCAACGAGAAGCTCCGCCTCCAGAAAGCCGAGTGACGTCACACGGACACTTGTTACGCCTTGCCGTTGCTTGTGATGGGATGTTGTGCTGCTGAGATTTTGCGGAAACTAAAGGAAACCAGTTGACACATGCCAAGGTATTTGTACGTCGAACAAATTTATCTCCGCCACAAAATCTTCCTTGATTCATTAACCAGTCTTTTTGGTTCACGGAGTCTTTTTGGTTCTTTCCAAGCGCTCTTAGAAAACTTGTCTTTAATTGCAAAAACGAAAAATAGTTATTTTAATAAATCCAAGCATAAAAAAAATAATAAAATACGTATACATATTTTAATATATGTATAAAATACTGATAAAATTTTAAAATGTTTTTCTTTTAATTTTAAAAATGCGTAGATCATAATAAATAAAATATCTGTAAATGCTAGTAAATTACATTATGCATACGTGTAACGGGAGATTTATTATTAGACTATATCGCAATCGCATGACGCGTTTTCTACCCCCACATAGCGCATTTCCACTCTGCAAAGAAAGGAGGGGAAGAATCGTCCGAAGGCTGGACCATCATATCGCGGCTATCGGGAGGCTGGGCCGTTGTGGGAAATCACGCGATAACGTCGAAAATTTCGTCGGTATTTTGTCTCTTATCGTTGCGAGAGGTGGCCTGAACGGCGCCTGATATAGAGTCGCCGTAACAAACTAATATTTTTAATTGACGCATCTTGGACCGGAGCGATATATCGAAATCTATATCTCAATACATCAACGTCGTCAACTATCGAGACAACCTTCAGTATTTCAAAACTAGTTGCTGGAATAAATTAACGCGCCTAGTCATTACATAGGAAAATCTGAACGCGCTTATGACTGACGCATGGGAAGTCCCACGAATTTATTTATCCTATATCGCGATGCATCTCACGTCTCGCGAAGATAGGCGAATTCAACATACATCTCTTCTTTTCCGGCGAAGTAACGGGTCGCCGTTTCGGCGTTGACGGCGGAAGTCCTGGGGAAAGAACGCCGTCGTCGACGAGATGCACACCACCACCTTCGGTGACTCGGAGATCACGAGTTCGTAAAGTAGCCTGACGTGGAACGGGGGGAGAGAGAGAGAGGCGGCGTGCTGTGAGAGGCGCGTGGTGGGAGCGGCGGAGAGCGTAGCCCGTTTCTGCCGTCGAGGGGCGTCAGTTCGGTGGCATAAGCGGAGGCGGGGGTCCAGAATCACGGGGCTTAGGCCGTCCCGGGCCGCTTACGCGCGGAACACGCGGTCCGCGCGGCATTACGTCGCGCACCGCCGACCGCGACTGACGTTTGCGAGAGGCTCGTCGCCGCCACCGATCGTCGAGATCATGACGCAGTCTCCCGACGAAGGAAATGTCAGTGGGTGTTATGTAGGTAAAGTGCGCTGTTTATCCGAGTGTAGTATCGCGTGACGTTATACCGGATTCGTGGAATCGACGTCCGATTGATGATGACAACAACCTGTCGGAATCGCGACAAATCATTCGGACAGTGTCACCGGCGACAGTGGCCCGAGAATAAAAGATAAATAGATCGAGAAAGGGGAAAGATTTGTTGGTGACGATTATTTTAATCGAGTGTCGAAAATTAATAAATATACCGATAGACAGTGGACTAATGTACTTTAAATCGCCGGACTCTCTACGGTCACGCGTCGCGTAAGAAAGTGCAACGGTACATAGCGAGAAAACAGCTGCCGCGTCGGATCATGAAGCAAACCCGGAACCGGTGATTCCCGCTGGTGACTACAATGATCTCGCGATCGATCACGAGAATCATCGGTGCAATCGTCGAAAAAGAGGAACGACTGATCGGTTACGTTCGCCGCGGGATACGCTGGTAGCGAGGCAAGGAGTCGCCAAGTCGCCTTCGTCGGCGAAACCGTAAGTGAAATCACGACGTCCCGGCCGGGGAGTACGTGCTTCGGCGACGTGGGGCGGCTACTGGCCGATGGGATGCATCTACCGGTGGGTTCCGTGGGCTGCGGGGAGAATTACGGCACCGTTGGATCCCACGAAGGCGCCGGCCCGTGCGGTCCCTCCCTGGCGCCGCTGCAAGGTGTAAACAGCAGGTACCACCAGATAGACGACGCCGACGCCGGAGGTGGAGGCGGCGAGATGAGCGAGAGTGCCGCCGTCGGCGAACTATGGTGGACCGAAAGGCTCGTCGGCGAAGCGCAGGCCGAACACCCTGGAGAACTGGTCAGGACAGGTTGGTTGTGTATTTTTTTTTTTTTTTTTTTTCCATAGTGTTGATTCGATATATAAAAATACCGAGAGAGAGAATATAATGAGCAGAATGTTTATTTATACAAAGATATTCTTATCGATTTATTAATATTAATATTAACCTCACAGTAAAAAAATTTATGTTAAATTTAACACATTTCACAGGTCTCAATTTATCTACTCTAATTTTAATGTCATTTTAACAGAAGACAAATATGTAAATAAATAACACACGTAATATGTGAAAAAATAACACAAAAATATAAAAATAAAAATATAATATAACCAAAATTCGTACATTTTCATTTAATTGTGTTGTTTTAACACTTAAAAATAGTGAATATTAACTCAACAGACAAATGTCAAAATAACATAACGACAATATGTTATATTAACATAAGAGTATGTTAAAAATTTAACACAAAAATTTCTACACAAGATAATTTCAACAGAAATACGAAATGTTTTTTACCGTGCTCGTATTAAAATGAAATCGAGCAGATTGAACGATTGTTTCAAATCTGTACGACTTGTTGTTTCAGGATCGCCGTATTTTTTATGCAGTCAGCTGCCAACGCACTGGCGATCTAATAAAACGCTTCCAGTGGCGTTCAAGGTAGTTGCTCTCGGCGAAGTTGGCGATGGAACCCTGGTGACGGTCCGCGCAGGCAACGACGAGAATTGTTGCGCGGAGCTGCGAAACTCCACCGCGTTGATGAAGAATCAAGTCGCCAAATTCAACGATCTTAGGTTCGTCGGTAGAAGCGGTCGAGGTAAGTTTTGATCATTTTAATTTTTTACTCATCGTTACACTTCTAAACACGCAACATTTTCTGAAGAAAGAAATCATTTAAGCATGCACGTATAAAAAAAAGAGTTAAAAACCGCATTTGTAAAGAGGAACGTTTATTTATGAAAGAAGCGTAATTAACGTTCCAATTATACTCTCTGGAAACAATTGTATCTTTGATCATATTGAAGTTCATACGAGAAAATCTGTAGCGTTGTGTGCGTATATCAGGACGAGCGAAAGCGCGTGCCGCGATTTCCAGCCCTCTAAAATCACGGTTATTGTAATCATCATCATCGTGCCACCCTCATCCATCCCCGTGCGTCCCCATTCGCGAGTTGGCGCTCTCCTGCCACCACCCCAGAGTCATTACTCGATGTCTGCCACAAGCCCCAACCGAGCATTCGAAACAACTGGCCGTTAATCAGAAATCATCCGACGGATATGGACGGATATGAACGGAGAGGATGACTTGCCGAAATCAACCAACGCTTTCGATCGATGCTCTTGACTTGTTTAATTTTCGACCCTAATTTTCCGTCAACCTCTGCGGCTCTTTCGCGCGCGCATCTATTAAGAAAAATATCTCGCGAAACAACATTGGTAAAAATTACACCGCAATGACGCGCGAATAATGCTAACGCAAAAGTAGATGAGAAATCATTAATGAACGTAATGTAAATTACAGAGACCCACATATTGAGAAAGAGATGAAAAGAATTTCGCGAAATTCCCGCACTGTTCTTTCTTAAATCTACGAAATCTTGAAATTTGCAATTCCTTCGAGCTGTTTGTGTTCCCGAAATATCGATTTCCCGGCTGATAATAATTATTCACGGATCGGTAGGCGGCTTTGTCAAAGCCTACAAATGCATTTTGCACCCCATGATCCGGAGGGCGCGTTTATGAATTAACGGGCCGGACTGCTCGTATACAGCACGGGATGTTCGTCCCGTAGCGCGTCATCTATGTTTCATTTGATTTCATCATGAAGTGCAGGGTCAGCGATTTTCATTCTCCTGACGCACAGGTGCATCGGTCCCTGAAGTCAATTAGCGAAAGAGACACTTCCCTCGCCCAAAATCCTTCGGTCCCTTTGTCCATTTTTCGGGATCCGCGTTGTTATATATTTTTTCCTTTTTTTTCTTTTGTTTTGTTTTTGTCGTTTCAATCTCTCCCGATAATCCATAATACTCAATTTCGGCGATTGACCAAACCGCCCTCGGTGTGTTGATGCCGGCCACCACCATCGGGCGAACCGGCCGGCCCTCCTATATCATCGAGGTTTTGTTTCCGCGACTTATTAATTTGATTGAATTGCATCGCATCGGCCGATGCAAAACTGATTCAAGAAATTGCAGCGAGGATTTTAAAACGGGCGAGGCCACGAAAAATGCGGAGGCCGCTAACCTCCTCGATTAAAAAGAGCGATCGTATATATTCGACGCGACGAGAGATTATTATTTTTCGGCGACTTCGCGAATCGCGCGATTTTTCTCGCCGCGCAATTTTCTCCGGCACATATCTGTGTGCATATCTGATTGAAATTGCTTTTACACGTGTCTTCCGTTGTCGCGCGTATAAAGATTACGACTCCGATCACACACCTCGCGGTTTATTACCTCTAATCAGCCGGCTATTAAAGTCAGTTTACGCTAAGAAGGAAATAACCGCAAATCGGTACGGATCATTTTTCTTATTATTAAATCGAACGATTATTTAACCGTTCCTTTCGAGAGTTCCCCTCTTCCGGAGGAATCCTTGACGGCCGGACAATTATCGCCTCTCGTGTATATTTATCGAGCGAATCATTCACACACACACACGTGAATGGAAAAGAAAGAAACGGAATATGGTAGCGCCGAATCAAAGAGGCCCGGAGGTAGCGAAGAGGGGGTAAAACGACGACGACCATTCCATCATCATCGCCGGGGTCGGCCCATGCCTATAATTAGTAATATACCGCAGTCTATATCGACACGACTGAAATTACCACCGATAGTAATTATTTGACAATCGCAGAGACATCCTGTTGGGAGACTCGGGGACCTCCGCTCCGTCCCTACCACCGACGCGCGCGTCCGCTCTCGTCCTCCCTTAGCCTTTCTACCCCGTACGTTCGCTGCTCGCTTAGCCCTACGCGACCTCGTCCCCTCCGCTCGTCGCCACGAGTATTAACGGACGGTTTCGAGTGGTTTCGGGCGGTTGTGTGTGGGCGGTTTGGGCTGGCGCGCTCATCTCATCGTCGTGTGTTGCCAACGCATCGACGATATACACACGCGCACACGAGCATACATACCCGGGGACAGAGAGAGAGAGAGAGAGAGAGAGAGAGAGAGAGAAACACGGGAGAATCGTGAGTAGTCGAGCTGTGATGCTGCACGTTATATAGGTGCCACATACGCGTGGCCCGGTTTTGTCTGTCCGTCCGTCTGTTCGCCCGTCCATCCGTCCGACCGACCGACCGACCGTCCGTTCGTCCGTCGTTCGCGAATGCACAAGCCGGGTCCTGTCTCTGCAGATGACCGTTCCCATCATCGAGTATTAACCGCAGGTCCGGAGAGGGGAGTCGGCTGTGCGGCATTATTAGCCCCAAATGCGATGGACTCTGCGCCGAGAGGGGGTGCGAGGGGGTAAGGGGGATAGGGAAAGGACAGCGCGCGACCCTTCCTCCGATCGCCACCTTCCCCCGACTTGGACGGAGTTTTCACGGATTTTATTCCTCTCGTCTTAATTTCGGAAACATCGACAAGTATTAACTCTTACCGCGCATCCCAAATATAGTATACGATTTTTGAAATTTATATTTTCCTATTAAAACTTGAAAAAACTTGAAATTACTTACTGTATATACTCGTCGTTTTTCGACCGCGTCGAAGAATCTTTCGAATGTTTTTCTTGGTAAAAAATGGCGAAATCATGCAACTTTGCGCGTGACAGATGGACGATACGATGATGGCAATGACGGGCGCACCGGGGGTGGTGGGTCTATCACGAGAGAGAGAGAGCCGCGATATAACTGGGATATAACGCCATGTAGCTCTGCAGTCAGTTGCAGCTCCCCAGGGGTGGCGCGGGTCGGCGGTGTTTGATGCCGGTTATCATGTTGACAGACACAGCGAGCGAGGTGGAACTGAGTGCACCAAGGGGAGACAATTACAAATCGTTGACATTTACGCCAACACAAACGATTGCATGTCCGCGGCGCGTTAGGTATCGTCTCTTTTGGGCGTAAACAGCCAGTCTTGGTCGTGTTTCGTTTCGTCATATCGGACAAGTTGACACCGAGTGTTTCGGTGTCCCCGCGAAATATGGATGGCATCCGTACGAATCGTTTCCCAGTCAAGTTGTCGCCTACTACCGCCGTCGGTCCTGCTGCCAGTCCGGTCTCGCTTGAAACGTTAAACCGGACTTCTCTGTTTCCAATCACGAAGAACGTAAATAACGAGAGACTAAGAGTTCGGTGGTAAATTCTTCGCCGTGCGATAGAAACCCTCCGAGAGAGAGAGGGACAATTGGTCGAAAGAGACAACTCTGGGGCCGCTTCTCTCCTACTCTCAAGCGGAAGAGCCGCGAAAGAGCGGCGAATTACCGAATGCATATTAGCGCGCGATGGGCCGTTTAAGAGCGCGTAGTCAATCTCTCCGACGGACGTTTATGGAGAGGGAATTAATATACCGGACCTTCAACTTCCAGACCTTCGCCGATGATATATGTACACGACCGCTCCACCCCCGAGCATCCACTCCTCTTCTATTATCTTTTAACGTGCTTAAGAATACCGAGGCTCCGTTAGGATCTAATAGACACGACCGTAATTGCCAAGTCGCAAATTATAAATCGAACTCCGCTCTCGTCGTACTTAATCAAAGATCTTTATCTTTATTCGAGTACTCTCTCCAATCGTAATTTAATAAACGATTCCTCGTATATCAAAAAATGCAGGTCGTTTCAAACTATTTCATAAGTGTAAAAATGCGTTTCCATTTGTTTTGGTATTTTATTAAACAAAAAAAAAAAAAAAAAAAATTATATAAATTCGCACACCGCATGTGTAACGCATAATATTGTTCTCCGTTGCAGGAAAGAGTTTCAGCATCACCATTACCGTGTCGACAACGCCGCCCCAAGTGGCGACCTACACAAGGGCGATTAAAGTAACCGTCGATGGACCACGGGAGCCGCGATCGAAAACGAGTAAGTGAATCATGCGACACTTTACGCGACGCTTCGAACGCGAGATCTATGTAGCGCGTCGTTCCGGGAATTCCCTCTGAAAATGTACCGATAATTCAACGAAAGTCCCTGTACGCGGTAATGGGGAGTCATTACCGAGCAGATGGTGCGCGATGATGCAGTGGTCAATGTGCGTATCGCGCTCGATAGATGCGTGTTTCGGGTCGAGTTATTCGCGCGCGCGCGCACACACACACACACACACACACACACGCACACACACATACACGTGCGGGGGAGACAATGCTTTTACAAGCGCGCGTTCGTGCGCTAACTCTAACTCACTTACGATAATTCGCCGCGGAAACCCCCGAAAAAATTGCTAAAACATTCTGTTGGCGAACTCATTATCGGTCGGCCAAAATTGATAGGATCACGCAAAACGCAGTAAAAGTCGATCGAACGGTGGCTGTTCCCCCGACTCTCCGATTTTATAACTCGACTCTGCGTGCCCCCTCTCATCCCTTTTCCACCCCCGCGGGGGATCAAAAGGAGATATCGCGGCGCTTGTGCGCGCCCGACGATTCGGTCGACACCTATTTTTGGATGCATCCGCGGCGAGCGAAAAAAAAATGGTCGTTATTTCAATATGAGATTAATAGCCGTTGCGGAGTTAACCGCGAAAACGGCAGTTTTTTGCGGGCGTTTCGCATTTGTTGTATAAAGTATTGATGGGAACAGGGTGCTGTATATATACATACACCCGCTATTTTTTTTTTCGCAATGGCCGAGCGTGATTGATTTTACTGATGTTTTTACTGCTTGACTCGTGGCCCGCGTGTCGGGCGGGACCAGGTGCAAACACGCGTGAATCTCGTCAATTTTCCAGCTGGCATAAAGTGCACTTAACAATGGGGTTAAAAGTTTCAAGTTGCGTTCATCGGTTACTATATCTTTGCGGCTTTCAACGTTTTTTAATGGCTCTCGCTGAAGATGCCTAGTCCGATCAATTTTATTTCGCTATTCTATTCGGTTTCGTATGAAAAATTAATCATTTTATAATTTTCAACAAATAAATACTATTGTAACTCTTCAAATTTTTTCACATTTGTTTTTTAGAGACAAATACACGTATGCATTAGTACACAGAGAGAGAATTTACCTCGACAGTCATGGGATTTCTCCGATTAAATATTTACCATGAAGAAAATATTAATATCTATCACAATAAGATATAAAATTCGTTCGATTAATTTTACTATATTAATATTTTGTATTGTGATAAATATTAATCGGAGAAACTCTTATAAAATTCTTCTAGTACCATTATTGTCCCACGCGATTGCCACGATTTTCAGAATAAAATCTAAGAGAAAATTCTCTCCGTGAATTTAATGACTAATTTGATAAACTCAATTTTTTAATAAATCTGTAAAAAAATATGTCACAAATGAAGCTGTGAAACCGGACAACAGGTGTATTCAGGAAAAAATGATATCGCACGGTTATACGCGCGCTTTCTATGCATCTGTACATTTATTACTCTTTCCCGTATAAGGGAGTACATTTATAATCCGCAATGCATCGATAAGTGGGGTCGTTTAAGTCGTCGGTTGGAGTAAACCGGACGTCGCCGACCTACTGGCTCTTTCCGAATCCGAAAAGAGATATACGAAACACGCGTGTCGCGTGGCACGGATCGCGGAATAGAACACGCATGACGACATATTGCATACACGGGTTTGGCATCCCCGATGGCGTGCCTGATCGGCCGGGCCGGCACGGCATCGGGGAGACAATCTATGCAGCGTATACGAGCCAGCACCGTTCGAGCAAAACAACAACCGGCAGCGCGCTTTCATTGTGCTCCAACAATGCGCGACGCTCAGCGCCCCGCAGACACCTGCCGGCTCTCATTATTGCGTGCATAATCGCGAGCTTTTTGTTATCGGAAATCATCCCTCCTTCTATGTGTGTGTGTGTGTGTATGTCACGGCCGGTAATCGGGCAATTTCCGTAATTCGTCGCTTCGTTATATCGTCGACGCGAAAGGGTTTAGAATGGCCTTTCCGTTTCCTCGAAGGAGAGCGGAAACGAGTCCAGTAGTAAAAAAATGCACGTGAATTTTATAGGGAAAAAAAATAAATAAGAATGTTCTCTCGTTGCGGAGAAGAAGATGAAACGCAAGGTGAGAACTTTGACCTTTTCTCGTTGGACGACATGGATCGGTCACGACAAAGCAGTGCCCTGAGCAATTTGTCGGTTGCCAATAACGGAAATGCCAGCAGAGTCGCGTAACGCAGAAATGAATCGAGCGCGCGCGGTAACTGATATAAACGGAGAAAGAGAGACGCACTCGTGAAACAAAGTGGCTCGCTCGCCCGTCACCGTGGCCCCAAAATCATCGAAATGCAAGCGAGCGAAACGATATCGATGGATGGGTGCTGTCAGTCAAAGGTCGAAATTGAATTTGTTTCGTTTCGTAATTGCTCCGTATTTGGAATGTCATGTATTAGTAGTACGTCATAGATTCGCGAAATGATTTCTCGTTTTAAATATACGGACGAAACGAGGCGCTGTCGTCTGATACGTCGCCAGAGATAGATTTTTTTCCCTTCCCCCTCGTGTTTTTGCTTATACATGATAAACGAATGAGACGCGAATATATATGACGTTGACTCTTGGAGAAACGCGCGAGAGATATTCTCTTCTTCGTGAAATATGGTATATACTATACGCCAACCGATTTTCATTGTTAGCCGACCGATGTGTGACGTTTTTCGATTCTTCATCTCTCTGGAAAATCGCTCATCCGCTCTCAATCGACATTCTCTTAAATGCAGTTTTCGAGAAAACCGATAGCGACGAAAGGAAGCCATACGAAGCAATTTCGACGGTCGGTGGCCGTCAATCAAAATGTTAAAATTGAACCAGGCTACTTCGCGATTGGATTCCCTCGTGGCCGACTCTTGATCCCGATACCGGTCAGAGGAAGGCTCTATCGGCGACCGAAAAGTCCGATTAAAGACCACCTCCTGATAAAGTGACGTCGAGAAGTGGCAGATCTCGCGGTACTTCCGGCTCGAGGATATGCTTCGTGAATGGTATACTCGTTGGAAAAATTACTCGCGGTTATCGTCGCGACGATCTGAAATCGCAAGCGGATGTACGCGGGAGAGGCAGGGAGAAAGAGAGGAGATAGCAGAATGGATACTGCGAAATTACGTTAACATTAAGGAATGAAAGAGAGGAAAAAAGGGGCAGAGAGAATAAAATCTACGTTGCGCTGGCGTCAAGGAGAACGTAAGACGAGCGGAAGGAGGGGCCCCGTTATTAGAGAGGAGGAAAAAGCCGCGCTGTTTCCGTCCTCTCGAGGGCCGCCACATTTTGATTAGATAAGCCCACTACTCGTGCCGCAGAGAGAGATTGGAATTATTGCTCTCTCTCTCTCTCTTACTCTTATCCGAATTCACAGAAGCCAGAGGGGCAATTGATGAAGGTGTTGTATCACTACATCGTAATTAAATGTTTTTCATACATTGATCGCCACGTGTTACATCCTTCCAAATTCTTGAAAAAAAATCCCTTTCACGGAAAAGATTTTGACGAATAAAAAGTCACGCTGACCTTCGAAAAGAACGGACCCATTGCTGCGTAACGCTCCGTACATTTGGGGCATTATCGGCGTCCGGTACGTGAGAAGTCGTGGGATCCCCTTTACACGGGCCCTCTTTGCTTGTAGTACCTCCTGGCGCGGGCCGATCGTGGTAGTCGGTAGCAGGGAATAATCTTGTATCGGTCAGAGCGCTGGAGCTGACCATCTGGGCTCGCCGACAATTTCGTGCAGTTTGCGGTCGAACTTTATTTGTCGTTCGCCCTCGTGGCCGGAGGTGTCTCTCTTTCTTCCTTTATCTCGCTCCGTCTCATCTTCTTTTTCCTCTCTCTCTGTCTCTTTCCTTCTCCTCTTCCGAGGAATAACAATTTGCGCCTAGACTCCCATTCTTTTCGCTTCTCCTCGATGTCAGCATCCGTTGAAAGAGAGAAAGAAGGAGAACAACACGGGAAAAGTGGGGAGGGCAAATGTGCCACTTTTGTTACCTACCGGTAATAATAAGCGGGATCCAGAATTCCTGTCGTCATTCTTTCACCGGAGATGCCAGTATGTAAATATCGAAAGTTATACGGAATATATTGCGAAGATCGACTTGCACCGAGAGACACACATTGAATGAAATGTCCGCGAGAGTTTGAAGTAATTCTCATTTTAAATCTTATATAGACATTATTGCTGTCTTACAAATGTTATTTCGTCTATGCGTCAATCTCCGATGATTATGTAAGCGAGTCCGAGCTCGTGCACATGCCGAATCATATGCATTGTCGCGTAACAATATATCTATATACATATATATACAACATATAGCGTATCGGGATCCGACATAATAGAGAATCGGAGTACCCACGTTGTGTGTACGCCGCGATACTTGGCTCGAGATTCTGTCTATGCACTCCGGCTTCGGATATGCGAGGAATGCTATTGAAGTCTATCAAGGGAAGAGAGGTCGAGTTTCTTCATTATCTCGCTCTATTGGTCTAATGACGTAGACGCGCGCTGGTCAATCTCCCTGATTTAGAGAATCCACGTGTCCCCGTCGTGTCAAAGCTCAAAAGGCACGTAAAAATTCAAAAGACGTTTAAGAAAATCCCCGATATATTTTTTTCCCCCGACAATTTTCTTGACATCTACTTCGCGAAATATCAAAGATTTAGATCACAGAAAAATAAATTAGAATGAATTATAGCGGTCAAGTAAAAATGTTCGTGTTATTCGAGATGAACAAATACATAAGAAATTGAACCGACTCAAAATCACAAACAGGTAATGCAATTTATTTATCGTATCGCGCACATTTTTTCCTTCAGGGCAGCAACATCAGCAATTTCGCGCGCTCGGTCTAGGACAAAGACCTTTCCTCGACGCGCCGACCTCGTTCAGGTCTCACCTGCGAGAACTCGAATCTTTCGGGAGGAATAAGCATCACCATCATCACAGTGGCAGTCACTTACACGACCAGCAGACCGGCAACAATGTCACCGCGAATTCGGTTAGCGGTGCCTGCACCAACCCCAACAACACCGACCCGACCGCATCGCCGGCTTCCAGTACACACCTCGGGGCTACCGGCGGCTCCTCTGCTCATCAGGATTGCTACAAACGCAGTCCTCAACACGGCGGTGAGTTCTGATTTTATGTTATCGCCTATTTTTAGTAAATAAGTCTCTCGGATACACGCCGGGATGACACATCAAGCGATAGACGTATCCCCTTGATATTTAAATGGAATATTTTTTCGGGAGAATCTTGGATGCGCATACTTCTTTTTGATAAAAAAGAAAAAATCGAAATAACGATCCATCGATCGATTGATAAAGGTGTATTTTCATCTGTTTCTCGTGAGTGAAGGTTTCTAAAAAATAATTGATATATATATATATTTTTTTCGTGTTCGTTCGCTTCAATAGCGTGCTCGATTACGAAGTGCCAAGTAGAAACAACATCTACCGATCTATTTGCTTCTTTGGTTCGCGATGAGATATTCGTGATGCGGCTATCATCATCTCATCCTCGTGGAGAACGACTCGGAACTACGCGCTAACCCCACCCAACCCTTCGTCGCGAAAGGGTGAAGAGGGAGAAACCGTGGAGGGGGGAATCCGGAGAGGAAGGGAAAGAGAGGAGAACTCTGCCGTTTCGCGAGGTAATAGTTTCATACCTCGTTCCGGCTCTGCACCCTCTAATTCAACGTAATAACGACATTCAACCTGCCGTTTCCATCTCCTCTCTCGATGCACCGTTGCGTCGCCGTAGCACCGAGAAAAAAGTGTCCTCCTCCTCGTGGAGAAACGTCATCGGTCGCGATCGGTCAGGCTACCGCGTCATAAATTTTCCTCCCGGGAAAACTTTTTTGCTTTACGGAAAATTTCCTCCGCGATAAAAAAGATGAAACAGTCATCGTTTCTCTCTCTTTCGAAATACCGTCGCGCAGCGGCGTTAAATGATTCGCGACTACGCTAAAAATTCATTGAATTGACAAAAACAGGGTTGTTTCCCTCAACAATACGGGCGAGTCTTACGGATGGCTTCGATATTTCGAACTATCGAGATAATTTAGGATGCAAAAAGGCGGGGAAGGTTGAGGCGAGGCACTTTATTTCTGCGCGGCTCGTCTCGCATCAGCGGTCTCGACCTGATCAAAGTTAAGTAGACGCGCCCCCTGACTGGCGAGACCTCTTTGAAGCTACGTTGCGGTTTCTCTTTGCCCTAATCTCCTCCTCCGCAACCCTCTCCCCCTTTGCTTCCTCTCGTCTCTCCTTGCCTATTGTGCGATCGGGTCCTCCGTCACCTTCCGGACCGAGACTTCTCGTCACTCGAGACACCTTCGTGGATCAACGTGCATCGTAATTAACTCGTTTATCCAAGCAAAAGCTCATCAGCAAAGAAAGCAAATCGCCCATGCAGCCTCCTCCTTCTCCCGACTCGTTATAGTTGCCTTTCAAAAAAAAAGTCCGACAAAACGAAGCCCGAATATCAGATGGCCAACGATGGATTTCACTTCCATCACCACCTTTGCATGAATGGATGCAATCTCGACGGATATTCCATTTACCGCTCATTCATTCGACACTTTTTTCGACTCCTTCGCGTCTCTAATGAGCAGTTCCGAGGGGCGTCGGACTTCTCCAACCGTAGTGCAAAATGACCGAGTGCGTTGGTGGATGCAATTTTCTTCCTCCCGGTCGGATTCAAAAGGAGAAGAGAGAGAGAGAGAGAGAGAGAAAGAGTTATCCGTTCTTAGCAGCTTCTCTACCTTCGGGCAACTCTTTTCACCCAATTCAGATCTCTCGGCCGACGATACTCTCGACATGCTCATGCACTCACGTACGACTCACGTGCACGTCTGCGTAATACCAGGGATCGATCGGTTGCTTCTCGATCGATCCGAAGCTGGATCCATGTTGTTTTTGCCCTTCGCTCGACTCGCGCGACTCTTCCTTTTATCTTCTGTTCGCTTCGCTTGCGACGTTACTGAATCGAACCTATCCACCTCCTCTTCATCTTTCTCCTTCTTCTCTTCGCCTTCTTCTCTCCCCGCGACTTTGTATTCCCGTGATTGCTTTCTAAATCTCGCGTACGTGCCAGAAAGTTCTATAAGAAAAAGTGAAATCGTTAAAAATCCTGTTATTTTATAAATATGAGAGTAAAAATATAAAAAAAATGCAAAACGAGTTACAAAGTTGATTGAATTTACGCTTCGGTAGCTTAGTTTACAAAAATAAAATAGAAATATGTCTGTAAAATGCGGGATGAAGAAAGTTTTTGTACAATTTTCTGGAATACAGGTACCTATTTGAAATGAAATCCATTATGTTTATGCATCGCAATCTCGTACATACCTATACAACAAAATATACTTGGCGTAATATTTTCTCGCATATACATTGTCTTCGCCGAAAGACTAAACGCTACGGCGCGGCGCGACGTGGCGGTCGAGAGGTCCCCGAGTGAAGAAAAAAGGGAAGCGCGAGCATTATTTCTGTCTCCTCCTATAATATAACCGTGTCCGTTTCTCTCGTCTTCCTTGCCCGGCCGAGTCTCATTTCGAGTCGTGATCGGGGTAATGAGGCTCCGCGCGCAGTGGCAGCGGACCGAGAGTAGGTATCCGAAGAGGTGATGCGAAGAGAGGAAAGCGAAACAAGAGAGGCGAGACAAGAGAAGAGATCTCTCGGATGGTATCAACGTGAAAGGAACGAAGAGTTGCCAGCATTGGGAAGAAGAGAGGGTAGGTGCAGGCGGGGGCGAGGTAAAACGAACGGAGAAGCCACGATGCTGCTGGCGTGGTAGGGGTAAGGACGCTGATTATGGGGTGTCAAACAATCATGCTGATTGTATATTCTGCGCTGACTCCTTCTGTCTGCCTTTACGTCTACTCGTATAGGCTGCAACCAAGTGGCGGGCTCTCGTTTCCTCATCTTTGCGTCCTTCTTCTTCGTTCTTCTTGTCGTCGTAGCCCGTCTTCTACTCTTTTCTTGCCGACGATTCCAGGAGAGAGAGAGAGAGAGAAAGAGAGAGAGAGAGAGAGAGAGAAATTATCCAGTGCGCCTTCTAACAGGTTCACCGTCAGAGAAAGAGACGAAAACTGCGTTTCTAAAGGCAACGTCATGGTGGTTTACGAGGAGGAAGTTATTTATCCGGCTAAGATAAACGAACGGTCGAGTTAAAAAAATCCGCCGGATGGGAAGAATGAATTAGAATTTAAATAATTCAGAAATGTATAACGATGAAAGACGAAAATCGGAGAAAAACGCCGACGATTTTCGAGAAGAGACAGTTCGCTATCGCGTGTCAGCCGCGTCTTTTTCGGCCGCGTAAACGTCTAAGGATTTTTACCGCGCGGCCAGTTACCGGGTGGTTAAGGTTAAGAAGCGTGTAATTCGCTTCGTTGCGAGCTTCGTCCACGGAGGTGCGCGCGAAGAATCCAGGAGCAGCTTGTCGCGAGTTAGCAAGAAGGGAATCATCTCTCTCTCTCTCTCGGTCGGCGAGAAAGAGACAAAGAGGCCGCGGCTGAGACCGGCGCATCTCGACTCTTTACCTATTTACCGGGGAGATGTGCTCGTACTTTAGCTATAGAAGGTACACCCAAAAAGACGACGAGTTTCGCGGGAGAGGGTCCGGATCTTGCGATTCCCACGTGCCTCCGCAGCTACCAAGAATGCGGCTACCTTTCTGGCTGCTGCAGACATTTTTTCCCAACCTACTGATTGTCCTACCGTGGATCTCTCTCGGTACTCACCTCCTCCGCGGCCTGCATTTTACCCGTCGGTACTTAGAATGCTGCCGACGCGGCTTAATGGAGCCCTAGTGCGTGCTTGTACGAGATTATTACGCCTCCTTGCCGCTGCAGCTGGCACTCTTACTTAAACGTTATTTCGATGTTCTTGAGAACAGCACAATCTTATCCATGTACGCATTATGTAGCGAGTCTAATTCCAATATATCTCATTTTAACCGACACTCGACTGCCGTAAATTCAGTGGACACAATCGCGAGATTTTTATCTCACCGTCAGAGCTGTCGCAGAAATTCAAAAATGCAGAAAAATATATAACTTTGCTCATTTTTATCATCATTTTATGAAGAAAAAAAATGTATGCGTATATATGTTATTTAGACATTTATTTGTATCTTGCTTAACATGAAAAATCGTATTTTACAAAGATATTGCCTAATCGTGACACGACAGAAGTTTACGTTCAGTTGCGTTGTTCGAAAGTTTCCCCGATCCAAAGTCTAGCAGCCCCGCGAGAAACAGGCGGATAAGGGTTGCTTTTCTTAAACAGGGGAAAGGGTAGGAAGTTGCGAGGCAATTAGGAAAGTGTCACACACACTCCTATCGCGACTCACCCTCGCAACATGGCGACCCCTATCATGCTCTATCACGAGGTTATTAACGTACGCGCTAAATCGTCTATGGGAGATGTGAAAGGATCTATGACACATTAAGATGCAGCGCGCTTAACACACATTTACATTCTTGCTCTCAAGATGTGTTTTCGATACAATTTATGCATTTTGCGTCATATCGAACGTTTGCGTGGAAACGATTCGTGATGAGAAAAAGTGGATCGTCGTGCACAGCTTGAGAAACGGCGACGTAAACTTTTCTTCTTTGCAATTCGTACTTCCCGCAGGAAGGCGAAGTTCGAAGCGTGGCCAACGAGTCTTCGATGCCTGCTAAAATGACAAACGCGACCGCAGAACTTAATTAAACTCGTAAATCCGTCGGCACCATCGTCGACTTCCACGACCGTTGTTGCGTCTCCTAGTACTTATTTACCTCGGAATACACGCTATAAACGGCGTCGCGGCCAATCAGAAACGTCGAATGCATCATGCATACCATGCACGAGGCGCGTCCATGACGGATACCTGCACTTCCACTTTGCATTAAAAAAATTTAATGCTAATAGGGCTGCATAATGATCTGATAATGACATGGTTAAAAGCGAACTGCGCAGTTGTACAGAATGTCCCAAGTTTTTATAGCTTTATATATATATATATATATATATATATATATATATATATATATATATATATAAAGGACTCTTGTATGAAATCAAATATTGCAATCGATGTTTCTTCAACCAAATTTTCGACATCGAGCGTTATCGTA